TGTGCAGTTTTTAAATATTTAATGCACTATATTGTTCCATGTTAGTGTTAGATAAGTATATGGGAGACCATATGAGCTCCATTCCGTCCCTGTGAGGTATTGAAATGTTTAGCAGGTGAAACATATTATCGCGAGAGTGTTTTCTCTAGGCTAGGTAAATACCACGTGACCATATGATCTCCTTTCCGTCTCCTGTAAGGTATTTAAAGGTACGTTTAGCAGGTGAAACACACATTTCCGCGAGAGAGTGTTTTCTTTAAATAGCTTTAAATTGTATTCGACGCACTAAATTTAATCCAAAATTAAGGTTAGGTAAGTACCAGGGGACAAGTGCCAACGTTTACTGTAGCCTGTGAATGTATTTTAAGGTGCTGTGTGTTGTGATAACATAATTTCCGCGAGAGAGTGCTTTTTCCTTTAAACAGTTTTAAGTTGTATTTAATGCACTATATTGTTCTATATTAGTGATTGATAAGTATTTGGAGACCATATCAGATCTTTTCCATCCTCTGTGAGGTATTTAAAGGTACGTTTAGCACGTGAAACACACATTTCCGCGAGAGAGTGTTTTCTTTAAATAGCTTTATATTTTGTTCGACGCACTAAATTCAATCCCAAATTAAGGTTAGGTAAGTACCAGGTGACCAGTGCAAACGTTTACTGTAGCCTGTGAGTGTATTTAAAGGTGCTGTCCTGTGTTGTGATAACATAATTTCCGTGAGAGAGTGCTTTTTCTTTTAAACACTTTTAAGTTGGGTTTAATGTACTATATTGTTCTATATTAGTGATAGATAAGAATTTGGACACCATATCAGCTCTTTTCCATCCTCTGTGAGGTATTTAAAGGTACGTTTAGCAGGTCAAAAACACGTTTCCGCGAGAGAGTGTTTTCTTTAAATAGCTTTATATTGTGTTCGACGCACTAAAAGTAATCTCAAATTAAGATTTAGATAAGTACCAGGTGACCAATGCCAATGTTTATAGTAGCCTTGGAGAGTATTTAAAGGTGCTGTGTGTTGTGATAAACATAAATTCCGCGAGAGAGTCCTTTTTCCCTTAAACAGTTTTAAATCGTAGTTAATACACTATATTGTTCCATGTTAGTGTTAGATAGGTATTGGGAGACCGTATAAGCTCTTTTCTATCCCCTGTGGGGTATTTAAAGGTACGTTTAGCAGATGAAACACACATTTCCGTGAAAGAGTGTTTTCTTTAAATAGCTTTATATTGTGTTCGACGCACTAAATTTAATCAAAATTAAGGTTAGGTAAGTACCAGGTGACCAGTGCAGACGTTTACTGTAGCCTGTGAGTATATTTAATGGTGCTGTGTGTTGTGATAACATAATTTCCGCGAGAGAGTGCTTTTTCCTTTAAACAGTTTTAAGTTGTATTTAATGCACTATATTGTTCCATATTAGTGTTATATAAATTTGGAGACCATATCAGATCTTTTCCATCCTCAGTGAGGTATTTAAAGGTACGTTTAGCGGGTGAAACACACATTTCCGCGAGAGAGTGTTTTCTTTAAAAAGCTTTATATTGTGGTTCGACGCACTAAAATTAATCCCAAGTTAAGGTTAGATAAGTACTGTTTCGTTTGAATAATGAATGACAGGAGTCAGCATAAATTAATCGGTTTGCTTTATTTTCAAACAAGCACCAGCCGTCAGGTTTGAAAACCTGTAATAAACAAAACATTCAAAGTGTCACACGGCCTCTGTGAACCCGTCTGACAAAAAGGTCCGAACAAGTTTTTACAGGAGACACAAAGAATCATCAAACAAATAATTATCAAATTACTTATTTATTACAGAGTAGTGCACCCACCAGCTGGCTACAAAAGTCTTGAAACCATAACTCTCCTTCTGTACCATGGCTCTTACTATTTGGCTGTCCACAACGTAGAAAACTCTCTCAAACTCCATACTGGTCTCATCTTTGATTGTCTTAGCTAAACGAACACTTAACACTGCTGCGCTAAGTTCTAATCTTACTATGGTTGTTATTTGTATAGGTGCCACCCTACTCTTGCTTGCCATGAGCCTCACGGAGTAGGTGCCATCTTCGCATTCATACCGTACATAGGCCACGGTTCCCATAGCTCTTTCCGATACGTCTGAAAACAGTATTAGGAGTGGTTTTACCCCTTCCTTTACGTTGCTCGGTTTAATGCACCTCTCTATTTGGACTTTACTGCACGTTCTAATGTCGTCGAACAGCGCCAACCCTGTCTCTTATACACATCTAGATGTGTATAAGAGACAGCCCTTTCTTTTTGGGATTTATCGATTCATGGAAAAAAGAATACGCATGCAACTACTCATTTGTTTATATATGTATACACACATAAAATAAAAAATGAGAAAAATTTACCTGTCCTATTTCAAGAGGGGAAAACCTTGAATTGTGAAGAACTTTAAAAGTCATTAAAAGACATTTCAGAAGTCAGGAAAGCTCATCTCCGGCCATCTAGAAATCGAAATTTTTCCGGAGGGACCCGGACCCCCTTTATCTTTGGAGTTCATTGATTAATTGAATCATTTTCAAGGGGGGGGGGGGGAACCTTGAATTGATTAATTGAATCATTTTCAAGGGGGGGGGGGGGAACCTTGAATTTTGAAGAATTTAAAAGTCATTAAAGACACCACAGAAGTCGGGAAAGCTCATTTCCCGCCACCAAGGAATCAAAATTTTCCCGGGGAAGAACCACAGGACCTCAACACCCCCCACCCTTTCTTTTTGGGATTTATCGATTCATGGAAAAACTACGTATGCAACTTACTCAATCTTTTTTTATGTATGTATATACACATAAGGCAATTTACTGTAATAACAATGGGAAAAAATTATCTGACCGTTTTCAAGAGTGGAAAACCTTGAATTTTGAGGAACTTAATTACTTTTAAGTTCTTCAAAATTCAAGGTGTTCCCCTCTTGAAAATTATTATAATGAATCAATGAACCCAGAGAAAGGGAGGTTCGAGTTCTTCCCGGGAAAATGTTGATTTCTAATTGGTGGACAATAAGATTTCCCGACTTCTGAAGTATTTTTTAATGACTTTAATTTAAAAGACACTTCAGAAGTCGGGAAAGCTCATTTCCCGCCTTCTAGGAATCAAAATTTTCCAGGGGAAGAACCCCCGGACCCTCCTTTCTTTTTGGGATTCATCTCATGGAAAAAATCGTATGCAACTACTCAATTTTTTAAAAATGTGTGTATATATACAATGTATGTATACACACATAACAGGCCTAATTACTGTAATGAGAAAGTTTACCTTACCGTTTTCATGAGGGGGAAAACCTTGAATTTTGAAGAACAAAGTAATTAGACACCTAGCTCAAAAGTCGAGAAAGGTCATTTCCCGCCATCTAGAAATCCAAATTTTCCCGGGGGAGGAACGTTGACCCCACCACCTAGATTTGATTCCAGATTTCCATGATTCATATTCCCATTCATCTTATAAGCAGTGGCGTAAAAGGCGGGGGTGGGGGCAGACTGTCCCTCCTGACGGTTTTTACCGGGCTGACCAAGCCGTCGTACCGGGCTGGATAAGAAGAGAAAAGAAGGAGGGGAGAGGGAGGGAAAGAGAAAGAAAAGGAAAGGAAAAAGGAAAAGAAAAAGAGAAGAGAAAAATAAAGGCAAGAATAAAAAGGAAGATAATAATCAACAGATATCTCAATACCCTGGCCTACAACCCCTTCTCCACTTCAAAAAGTGTCCATATCGCATTTGATCTAAGCCGCTAGGTATTCTTCGCAGTGGCGTAACCACCGGGGGAAAATATCTATCTGTGGAAAATCTTTCCCCAATGAATGCCCTTTTCACCCGGGAAAGTGCCTGAAAATCTCAAATTTTAAATCGCATATTTTCTTGAGGTAGGCCAATTTCCTCTAAAAATTGCACATTTTAGGGAGTTTTGATCAATTCCGACGAATTGCGCGCATTTTTTAATGTTAAAGCTTGTGCTTGCTCTCCTTTGCCTTCTAAGTTATAACACATAGTCCCAAACTTGAGAAAGAAAATTTAAGATAGATCGTTTTACCGAAAAAAAGAAGGGCCTCAATGTGTAATTATGTTGAAAGAATATGTTTGTAATAAATAAAGCCATAAGGAAAATGCTTATATTCAGTTTAAAAAAACGAGTGTGGCCATATATAACATAAGAGCATTTCTTGTTGAGGTAGGTCAATTTCCTCTAAAAATTGCACATTTAGGGAGTTTTGATCAATTCCGACGAAATTACAATTAAAAACACAAAAAGTTTTCGCGCATTTGTTAGGGATAAGGCTTGTGCTTGCCCTCCTTTGCCTTCTAAGTTATTTAAAACCATAATAGTCCCAAACTTGAGAAAGAAAATTTAAGATAGATCGTTTTACCTAAAAGAAAAGCTTCAATGTGTAATGATGGTGAAAGAATAGGCCTATAATGGTAATAAATAAAACCACGATGAAAATGCTTATATCTAGTTTCAAACACACGTGTGTGGCCTATATTAATAATAAAATAAGCCCTATGTCGTATTGTTTTCTATATGGTGGGTGGCGGGGGGGGGGGGG